ACACGAATTCGCTAATTACTTTTTCTAATAATAAATTTTTCGTGTGAAAAGTGATATTTTTCAGTATTTCTGTATTGATATTAACAAATTCTCGGAAAATATTTATTAATTGCGTGTAATTTTACATTCTCTGATATGTTACGATATTGAAATAACAAAAATAACCGAAAAAATTGAGTAAAAACTGACTTGAAAATGAAAAAAATGGTATTAATTTAGGTGGTATATTCTATATACCACCATGCCGCAAAGGGTTAAGTGATCTATGTCAGTATCGCAGCGACTTTCCTCTATTTGTTTCATAAAATAATATACTGCAAATTAATATGTAATCTTATGTGTAAATTTTATTGTAGTTTATTAGGTGCGTATGGTATTTCTTTCTGTTCAAAATATTGGATTACGTCGAAACGGGCATATTCATATTAAGGAAGAAGAATAATCAAGTGTCCGCATTACATTTGTACCACCATGTATCTACCTTGATTTTTACATGGTTAGCTATAAGATATTACGCCGTTGCTCCCATGGTATTTCTAGCCTTAATTAACAGCTTTATACATACGATAATGTACACGTACTATTTCCTAGCGGCTTGCGGTCCGAACATTCAAAAAGCTATTGCACCTATGAAACCATGGATAACTATATCACAAATGGTAAATTCTTCTAATTTTTCCTCCACATTTTTCACTATTCACATCGCGCGCGCGCGCGCGTATAAGTCCTCTTCTCTTTAAATTGTTCTATTAATTGTTCAACTTGAATTATTAATGTAATAAGAATAATTCTCAAGACTTGAAAATATTTTTTCTATAATTGCATGATTAATTTGTTTTATCATATAGATTATTAAATTAAATTAATTCATATTATTAAATTAAATTAATTCACTATTAAATTAAAACGTAAATCAGAAAAATAGCATCATACAAATATCCGTCATGGATATCGAAATTAAATGATAAATTAATTGAATCGCTTTATTTTCAGATACAATTTGTCGTGCTGCTGTTGTATGTGTCGCAACAACACATTCTAGGCTGCAAAGTTGTAAATAATTGGACTATCATAACA